CGTCATGGACATGTATCCTAACATGTATAATCTATGTACCAAATTTGAATGAAAACTGACAAAGCATGTCCAAAATACAACATTTTCAAAAAACAAGATGGCTGCCAGTCGGCCATCTTTGATCCAATTGTGAAATAAATCATCATGGACATGTATCCTAACATGTATAATCTATGTACCAAATTTGAATGAAAACTGACAAAGCATGTCCAAAATACAACATTTTCAAAAAACAAGATTGCTGCCAGTCGGCCATTTTGAATCGAATCGCTAAACCACTGCATGTGCATATGTCCCAGATAAAGTACTAGGCACATGCAAAGAATGAACGGAATCGGTCCAAGGGATTCTGAGATATGACTCCGAACGGACGCACGGACGGAGACCGAATTATAAGTCCCAGTTTTCTGACTTCGTCTGAACGGGGACTAATAATTAATTGTTTTAAGTCCTTTTAGCGTGATCACGAAAACTAATGTGACTCGGGAGAAATCCTGACTGGACGCATCTGCGGGCATTTGACTGCTATTAATTATTTATGATGTCATTGATTATTCATGAGTAGGTGTGTTAACATGACCTTTTAAAGGTTGGGTCACAATGCAAATGGCTGACTAGTCACGGAAATGAGAATGTTCTGCTGCTAGTCGTATCTTGTAGTTTAGAACTGAAAATGTACAGTAGCTGACACAAGATAGATAAACTGTTGTAATGTAGTGTAGGTTAGAATTATGGTGGTAGTGGTGCTGAGGTTTAGTTATTTCACTCTCAAAAATAACAACAGAAATGTGATTCAAATATTGGAGCTGCACTCTGATTTGTTGTCAGTGCTAGTCAACAACTTTTAATTAGCATAATCACCGGAGTGATTCCGCTCCAGTTTTCACTCCAATGCAGGGGATTGCCTGCAGATGCGTCCAGTAGGGATTTCTTTTGCGGTCACGCTAGTATTCGTGGTGATCACGCTAAAAAGGCTAAACTGACAATTAATTTTTTTAGTCCTGACTTTGCCAGTCTAAACAATTACCTGAAGATTTATCTATAACCAATACTGTAGAATACTTTATTTCCGCTTGGAATTTATTTTCGCTAAAAGGATGCTTCAGCTTTTTTCCCTATGTCTCACATTCAACTCAGCAAAAATCGGTGAAAATAAATTCCATACAAAACACCCATTTTCAGCGAAAATTAATTCCAGCTAAAATAAAGTATTTTACAGTATTTTAAGGCTATAAATAAAATAAAAAGCATTCTAAATGCATATCTTATTCGGGAAATTTCTTATCAAGTCCATACAAACTGTACTAAACATCAGTTGAAATTTTAATTCAGCATTACTTGACAGATTGGTGATTTTGGGAGGATAAAATTATTGAGCAGTCAATGGCCAAGCAAACAATCCCTAGATCAGAGGATAACTTGAGAACCTATCCTGTTGCATTAGAAGGGTTGGCAGAACAAACCATCACTACAGAACTCACAACATTAACAATATGTGTAACAAGTCAAGTCAAGCCAGGCATTGTATATCAGCTGTTTTATAAATTATTTGTATATATCTTTAGATTTTGATAGGTAAACCTGTGTTAGTGACAACCTGTATATAAAGACCATCTGCCTACAGTGACCACCTTTGGGGAGCCCTAATGCAATTCACATGTAAAGTGACCTGTATAATAAAAGTTACTTGTCTACTGTGACCAGTGGGCCACCCTTTGGCAATGAATGGTCAAATAAAGCTGTGTATAAAAGCCAAACCGATGGAAGATGATTGCATGTTTAGTGCTCTACACTAGTCACTACACTTACAATTTCAATTTAATCAAAACAAACAAGAACTATTACTTATTCACCATCTTCAAACATTGAAACATAGTAATTTCTCCCCCCCCCCCCCAGATGACAAGAAAAAAAAAATCATGAAAACATTACAATTAATTAATTAAGTTCACTATTTTCATATAATGCAATACATATGATGTTATAAAACTGTTGGTGCGTAAGATTTTCTGTTTTGTAAGAGTTCTTTTATAGAAAAAACATGACAATCATAATGCTTTTGTTTAATATTATATTTGCATGACACTACTATATAATAATATATTTTTTAATTCATGTAATATTGAGTCTATTATGTTGTACTGAATGAACACACATGGTCGACACGATAATAATAAGCTAATAACTGGAAAATGTTTGTTTTTTTCAAGCTGTCTCAGTCTGCATATCATGGATAGATGTAACACATACATCCTGACTTCATATACTGTAGAATACTTTATTTTCGCTTGGAATTTATTTTCGCTGAAGGGATGATTCCGTGAAAATAAAATCCAGCGAATATACTTTTTCTATATTTCACATTAAACTCATCAAAAAATCAGTGAAAATAAATTTCATACAAAATGCCCAAAAAGCCTTTTCAGCGAAAATTAATTCCAGTGAAAATAAAGTATTCCACAGTATATGCATTTATTACCATAAAGATTTAGTTTTAGTATTACACAGGGTAGTACTTACGTAGACTCTGAATCAGCATTACATTGCAGAAAAAAGCCAAGTGTCTTCACCTGTTTCTCTGTGTTCTGACTATTTCGTGGCATTGCCATGATTTTCCTACAGGCAATAAATGCACATCCACATCAGACATGCGACTAGTGCTAAGTGTGTACAAAACAGTATGATTCAGTCTGAACTCGAATCAAGATCACCGCCTAAAGACAAGATCAACTCGCCTTGCATGGCAGATGATATAATCACCAGTGCAAAATGTGTAAAATGAAAGCAGATGAATTGAATTATGAATTATAATTGATGGAAAAGCAGATGACTTACCAGGGTAAATTACGAATCATACATGCTGGACTGAGTACTGTCTCTTTCAGTTTACTGAAGTTTGGAATAGTGAAACGAAATATAGCTTCAGAGCGACTTTCATCTGATGAAAAAAAAAATATCAAACTTATAATTATAGGTCTTCCCATTTTATTTAACAGGCTGAAAAAGATCCTATATAATATATACAATATAACAAGTGAGGGGTCACCCATTTGAAACCTGGAAGGGTGGCTGTAATGGGTAACCCATTTGAAACCTGGAAGGGTGGCTGTAATGGGTAACCCATTTGATAACTGGAAGGGTGGATGTAATGGGTAACCTATTTGAAACCTGGAAGGGTGGCTGTAATGGGTAACCTATTTGAAACCTGGAAGGGTGGCTGTAATGGATAACCTATTTGAAACCTGGAAGGGTGGCTGTAATGGATAACCTATTTGAAACCTGGAAGGGTGGCGGCAGTAATTTTTCAAATTTCATGTTCCCATCTGCATGGCAAATATGTTATTCTTTCTCATTGTACAGTCATATGCAATTATTTTTTCTAATCTCCTACAAAATTTTTTTTTTTAATTTTTTTCCCATTGATAACAAGGGATTCTGTGAAACGAGTTCCGCTTCACAGAAAACAAAACTATAAAGGGATTTGTTAGTCACATGAAATGTTTTCATGCATGATAAAAATACACACAATCAATTTAATAGCCATACACTTACTCATTGAGACTAATTACACAAAACTAATTACCAACTCTCTACAATGATTGGTGTAACTCAATAACTATGCAAATGAAGCCATATTTATTGGCTAATTCACTGCTGCTATACCTATACTTTATCCATGATCCAGGTTGAGATAATGACAAATTTGTAAATTTGACAAAACCAATAATCTCAATTTGTTCATTACAGTGAGTAATACAATACATGCATACAAAAACACTATCATCCATCAATTCATATTTAAATTTGGACAGTGGAACAAATATTTTTCTGAAAGTAATTACATTTCTGAAAAAAACACAGCAAAGGTAGGGTACGAGACTTCAACACTGTACCATCACTGTGTATGGGTAGAAACAACTCCCACTGATTATTACGATCACCTTGAAAAATTATAAATTAATTGGTTGGCCAACAAATCCTGAAATATTGGAGTACTGCACTGAAGATTATTAGGCCTAATCACAAATTTAAACATAATTTTTATAGTTACTAGAAGGCCACTTTACTTTATTTTAGGATGTCTTATAAATTCAGTTTGAGGATTCTGTTGGGTAAGATTCTTTATGAACAAACTCCAGAGCCCATAATAATAACATTTTATTGTAAAATACTTTTTAGTTGGAGTTAATTTTCCCTGAAAAGGCTTTTTGGATGTTTTTTGTATGGAGTTTACAGATTTTTAAACAGTTGAATGTAAAATATGAAATAAATAGTATATTAGTTGGATTTTATTTTCACTGAATCACACCTACAGCAAAAATAGTGAAAATAAAGTATTTTACAGTATTGCATCTTTAGAAATACCGGGTAACATTATTTCAGTGTACAGCCACAAAGTGTTAGGATGTGAAATAATTTGAAAGATATATATGATAATGTTTACATGTGTTAGTGTTAGTGTTATACAAAATGCCACAAATATTCCATGAACAACCATAAAGTTGATTTGATCAGAAGCTAAGCTGATGTTTTTGTACAACGTAAACACTGTGTAAGTGGTTGTCGCATCAGACTCATGAACGGTAGACCCAAGTTCAAATCCTACCTTAGGCTGAATATCAAAAGGGTCGACCTTGGGTGAGTGTGCCACAGACTCAATGGGGAGGCCAATTCCACTGGCCGAGATTCATTCACTAATAAATGCGACTTTGGGGGGACCTTGGTTAAGGTCCGCAGGTGCTTGTGTTCGACTGAGCCTGGTTGACGCCAGGATAGCGCATTAAAATTGCCATTTGATAGGGAGAATGCCACAAGGCCCTGTCATGTAGTCCCAAACAGGAAATGACTTCTGTGGCAAAATGTACTATGTGTCGGCACTAGCACTTGCAATTGTAAGTGAACCATCATTCAAAATTTGTTAATAGAACTCCATATACTCTATGTCTGCAATACGTTTCCCAGTACCTTCATATGATAGACAAGATATTCTGCTATTTGACACGGTTTAAACTTTGATTTTCTAACAAACACAACTTTAAGATTAAACTTTCAAAAGATCATGGAAATGACGGTCTTGACTTCCCAATTTTAAGCCCTGTATTGAGAACACATATATTGAAAACTTGATACTTGCAACCACCAAACTTTTTAACCTTTACATAATTTCAAATCTTAAACCATAAGGAGATGATGCATCATCCACAGTTTGCATATAACAACACAGGAAAGTTGACCCATGGGAATTATATTTTAAAAATTAAATTTGCTTGTAATAATTTGGAAAGAGAGAAAACAAAGTATTTCATACCATCATCATCTGGCTCATCTTGCTGCATTGAGTCATCTTCATTCACGTCACCATTAATTGTTTTCTCACCTGTCCCATCAGCCACCTTCCCATTAGTAGTCTGTTTGTCATCAGTACTGTTTTCTGCATTAAGAGAGTATAATCGCGTTCATTATTACGAACACAAGCAAAATAACCTGTGATATAAAATCCCCGATTATTAAACTATAAAAACAAATAATGATTAATAACGTTCATAAATATGACTGGGTGTTAGGGGAGCGGCATTCTCCAAATGATGCGTGCGTTCAAGTTCGTAATATTTCCAAGCACTCGTAACTTTATAGACGGGCGATGAGTCAAACAAAAATTTGGCCACAGCTTATGTTTTGTTTTTAAACCTATAAGAAATTCGACACGGAAGAAATAACACAATGCAACCCCGGCATGTAGCATTTCGGTATGTAAGTAGCTGATCGTCGCCATGTAATAATTTGTGCAGCGTAAATGGATTCCTTTATTAACACACTTAGAAAGTTACACTGGGTGAGCAATGCATTAAGCGAATCGCCATGTAATGTTACTAACCTTCTCTTGTGTCCATTTCCTCGCTGTCTGACAGCTTCTGATCCTGCTCTGGGCAATGGTTCATTGTCTTGTTCGTTTTTTTACCGGTCTCAGTGTCGCCCTCTTCCTTAGTCTCCACACCACCACCCGGAGACGTGGGGGATCTCTGAGACACTTGGCTGGCTTTAACGTGCTTGCTCGCGATCCGCCCAATTTCTGCAGTCTTAGCCCCCGATAACAGGGGATCACAATTTACCTCGAATTATACTGTATGATAATTAGAAAAGACAATAAAAAGAAATAGATACCAACAACGGCAAAACGTGATTGTACATAGACAATAATAAACAAGATGGCGGCCAGCTGCTGTTTCGCAAAGCGTCATGGGAATGGGTTAGACATGAAGAAGGACTATCGGCGGAGGGCGCACTTCATCGAAGAATGTATATTTTCTGCCAAAAAACCTTAATTAACTGTAAAAAACCGTGTCGTAATTACCAAACCATTTTTCCCAAATTGCTTGTCACCACTACTGTATAGTTACGAGAGTAATCCAGCAAAAGGTCATCTGAATTAAAAAAAAAAACAATTGTCAAGTTGTCATACTTAAACAATACGAGAGCAAATTGTCATTTTATTTCCTGTTAGCATTATTTTATCCGGTCAAAATATATAATCATCCTGACAAAGTGTGCTCGGTGGCGTGATATAGTCTAAAAAATCGTAATTTAGCCTTCGTTGTCATTGATTACATGGTCAACGAAATAATAAGGCATTACATTCTCACAATCTACTGACTACATAAGTTCAAATTGTCCTCAGAGGGACTCGGCTAAGTCTGTACATCACGGCCGTTTAGTGGTCTGAGATCATGGTGATGGCACGGTGGTCCCGGAGATCCGAAACTCATCTACGACGGATACAATGGAAGGTAGTTGCCCCTACCTGACAACACTGATTTCGCTCGTCAACATTGTCAAATATATCCTTAGTTATAGATGTTGGTTTGGCTAGTGATTACTTTGATATTTATGATAATTATAGTTATGCAGATTAATCTCACACAAACATAATTTTTGTAATATCATTGATACCGGCAGTACAGTCGTCTCCTTAAAACGATATCAACAAATAGATACTATTGTATTGATATTTTATTAAAAACTAAAATACCGAAGCCACGCTGAATATAAGGAACCGAACACGGGAACGAAAATTTGCTTTCGTGTCAAAATAGCAAGCACAAAAACGTTACTAATAATGTTTTGAAACTGTCTAAAAATTACCGGATCCACTCAGGTATCGGTTTTCTCTCCAAATAATTAATGGCATCATAATTGCATTTATTATATTTGCCAGATACACATGTCAGTATTATTGCCATAACATCAAATCATACACATCTGTGCGCTGTACAACATGGTAATCCACAGATATGTGCTGTTGAAAGAGATCAGTGTCGGTTATGTCATTGACAACAGTGGCGCATGCGTGTAGTTGACAAGTGCGCAAAGTATTTGCACGTTTCATTGGGTTCTGTGGGGGGGGGGGGGTCTGATTCAATGTAGGCCACCAAATTGTAATTAGTGTATGAGAAAAAAAAGGAACGAAAGCGCACCAAGTAAGTGGATGGATCACATTGTAAATTAAAAAGATTTGGAGAGTGACATTAATATCAGACTTTTTACAAAATCCAAATTAGCCGGCAAAACTTTACAACGGACACTCACAACGGACACTCCAGATTTGCATCGCACGTCGTACCTATAACTCGTCCAAGCAGCGACGAAGAGTTCTCTGACACGAATATCGCATTTTAATATGTCTTCTTATGACAAAACATTGAAATAATCTAAAACTTTCTTTTTCAAAAAAACATTAAAAAATAAATCAAGAGAATGCTAATGCTAACCACCTTTCATTAAATAAATGAATTTCTGTAGATCAATTATGGTTTCATTTGGGAATATAATATTGTAAAGTGTATCTTTTCGATGGGTTTGGTATTTAGACATCTTCTATGTCATGCAATGAACAATGTCTAGAAATCCTATTTAAATGGTGTTTTAGTTGTGTGTGTCTTCTTTTTTATCAATGGCTAATTTGTTATTACTTGTTCTGCATCTAGTCACAGAAATTCTTTGATTTGTGTTTAACACATTTAAGAAGTCTTCAAAATTGCAATTATTTTGAATTTAGTGTTTTTTATTTGTCATATTTTCTCTGCAGTAAGAAATACATTGTTGTTTAAAAATGTTCTTTATTTCCTTTATATTTTGCTGTGTCAGTGGAGAGGTTATAGGGTTGTGGATGTTTGTTTTTTTTAATTTTTTTTCACACCGGTTTCCCATTGTGCTTTTGACATTCACTGGTCATCAGCGAAGAATCGTTCCCAAACTTGTTGCTTCCATGGCCACCAGGTCCACATCCACCCAACATCTAATCTATTGGTGCTTACGTTATCCTGGAAGTTATTCCTTAACTTTTTCAGCTACCAAAGAAGAACCAGTGTCAAATTTGATGTTTCCTTGGCAACTAGATGCACAGCTCTATCACAGTCTACGTGATTAGTCGTGTGTCGCAATTGAACATTTCATGAGAATCCATTCATAATTCTTTGAGTTAAATTCCAGTAGTAATTATTCCAGTAATTGCTGTTTTGTGGGTACCGGATTCACATGTCTGACTATCTCAGCATGTATCTATCACATCTGGATATTGTGGAGGGAAATGAAGATCTAACATAATCTTGGGTTTGTCCAAACATTGTTTGAGCTATGAAGTCCCTTGTATATATATGACTAGTTAGTTGGTCATATTAATCAATATTCTATGCATCTACGGAAATGATGTCAGAGAAGTTTTAGTTACATAGTACCACGGCTGCATAATTACGCATGTATTACAAGGCGACTTTATTTCAGTCTTATAAGGGTTATTTGAACAATTTCAAATCTTTGAAATCAGTTTTTTTTTCTTTATTTATTTGTTACTATTGTTATCATATTAGTATAGGCCATATTGGACACTAGTATTGTTTTACTGAATCCAGTGCTATCCAGGATAAATAAAGTAATTATCATATGGAAATTTCAAACAACACATTACTTTTCAAATAGAGATTGCGAAATACACAATTGTGTTTATAAGTTGCGAACATGCGTCCACATTAACATCGTAAACCACATACTTGTATTCATACTGAGAGTGTAAGCTACACATTTATATGTATACATAGATTGTAAACTATCCGTATGTGTTCATATCCATGGAAATAGTAAAACACACACGTATACTCATTTAGAGGTTGTAAAACACACATTTGTATTTATATGGAGAATGTAAACCACACGTGTATTGTATTTTTTTTTCCACAATATTAGCTTTCCAGAATTTGAAAAACTAAATCAAGAATGTAAATTCATTTATTTATTAAGTGCTATGGATACTCATCTTATGATACCTTTCGCCAAATATGTTAATTCTATTTTAAATGTAGTTAATAGTTGTATTTAGTGGCCATACTGCCGTATTGTACTATATCGGTGTTGTGTCAATAAATTATTATTATTATTATTAAATTATTATTATTTATGTACATATTGTAAATCATACATTTGTTTTTATACAGGGATTTAAACCATAAAATTGTATTATTTAGACAGAAATTGCGAACCACGCATGTGCTTTCACATGTACATTGTAAACCACACACGTGTATTTATGTACTGACCATACCATTGTATTAATAAGAACATTGTAAACCCAATACTCATATTCAGATTGTAATTTACAAACTTATATTTATATAGTATGTAAACTACAAACGTGTGTTCATATGTAAATTGAAATCTACAACTCGCATTCACAGAGACAGTCAACCACAATAGACCACTTTCCGTACACTGCGAGAATCACGCGTTATGCGTGAAATCGAACGTAAAAACAGGACAAACAAAGGTCATAGCGTCGTAGTCGCGTCAAACATCGCGTGGGATTCGACAAACGCGAAAGTATTTTGGGGACATTTCCATGCTTAATAATGTGCTGTCCACATTTGATGATAGGCAATTTCGATTAAGTAAGGGTATTCGGAAGCAATATTCCTCTGTCGAAGATCGGCCGGTCGGTGTGAGCAGGAAGCTGTATACCTGGTGTGAGCTACGAAATAAGGAAATTCGAGTTCAAAATCAAATCGTTCGATTTTTGCGGCAGACGTTCGACGCGCGTCTTTCATGCATCTCGCGAGATCTCGCAATTGTACGGAAAATCACCTATTGCGTTCATATAGAGATTGTAAACCCAACACTTGTATTAATGTGGAGATTGCAAACCACACACTTGTATTCATATGGAGATTGTTAACCATACATTTATATTCATATGGAGATTGTAAACCACACATTTGTATTCATATGGAGATTGTAAACCGCACACGTGTATTCATATGGAGATTGCAAAACCACCACTTGTATTCATATGGAGATTGTAAACCAAACACTTGTATTCATATGGAGATTGTAAACCACACACTTGTATTCATATGGCGATTGTAAACCACACACTTGTATTCATATGGAGATTGTGAACCACACACTTGTATTTATATGGAGATTGTAAACCACACACTTGTATTCATATGGAGATTGTAAACCACACACTTGTATTCATATGGAGATTGTAAACCGCATACGTGTATTCATATGGAGATTGTTAACCACACACTTGTATTCATTTGGAGATTGTAAACCACACATTTGTATTCATATGGAGATTGTAAACCACACACGTGTATTCATATGGAGATTGTAAACCACAAACTTGTATTCATATGGAGATTGTAAACCGCACACGTGTATTCATATGGAGATTGTAAAACCACCACTTGTATTCATATGGAGATTGTAAACCCAACACTTGTATTCATATGGAGATTGTGAACAGCACACGTATATTCATAGAGATTGTAAACCACACACGTATATTCATAGAGATTGTAAACCGCACACGTATATTCACAGAGATTGTAAACCGTACACGTATATTCACAGAGATTGTAAACCACACACGTATATTCATAGAGATTGTAAACCGCACACGTATATTCATAGAGATTGTGAACCGCACACGTATATTCACAGAGATTGTAAACCGCACACGTATATTCACATAGATTGTAAACCGCACACGTATATTCACAGAGATTGTAAACCGCACACGTATATTCACAGAGATTGTAAACCGCACACGTATATTCACAGAGATTGTAAACCGCACACGTATATTCACAGAGATTGTAAACCGCACACGTATATTCACAGAGATTGTAAACCACACACGTATATTCATAGAGAT